AAAAAAAAAAAAAAAAAAAAAAAAAAAACTGATATTTTTAATTCCAAACTGATATTGTTATTTTCAACTCAAATTAGTGAGTACTTTTAAGAGGTCATCAGATTTTTATTTGCTATTCGTTGCGCTAGATGAGCTGAAGTTACTTTTTATTTGTAATGCAAGTCATATTTTGTGAAAAAACACCATTGACCGGTCACCAAAACATATGTTCATACCTCAATTACAAAAATTCAAGCCATTCTTTAAATTGTTAAAATTAAATAGTTGCACTTAATTTTTTCTTTTTTTTTTTGGTAGCAAGCCACGGTTCCGGAGCTATGCTCTGACTAATCCGTTGGTCAATCCGGGTTGCACACCTGGCAGTAGTGGGTGAGTCTCCCAACAAGAGTTTTCTGCATCCACAAGTCAATCCGGGTTGCACACCTGGCAGTAGTGGGTGAGTCTCCCAACAAGGGTTTTCTGCATCCACAAGGACTCGAACTCGAGACTTTGCTTAAGCGACATCAAGCTGCTTACCACTTGAGTCAATCCATGTTGGTAGTCGCACTTAAATTTCAATTGAATTAAATATGATAGATCATTGATTTTGTGAACCACCTTTGTTGGAATGTCACTTGTGAATTGTCCCACATTGATTTGATAGGGTAAATAGGCCCAACTTATAAGCCTAGTGGGCTACTCCCCCTACTACCAATTGGTTTTGGGATGAAATCTCATTTGGGCTTTATTTGGGCTAACCCTCTTATGGTGCGCTTCACCTGTGTGGGACTGCACTCGTATTGCCCCCGTTTGACAACCTTATAGAACCCTCTTTGGGGAAAGGGTATTTTAGTCCAAGAACGTGTGGAATCATGTTTACATGTTACAACACGAACTCCCCTGATCAATTTGATCTGATCAGATCAAGGCATCGGATATATATATGATTAATATATAAAGGGTCAATGAGTAACATGTGATGCGAGGGGTAATTACGATATATTTGTACATTAGGCTAAAGAGTACAAGTTAATACAGCTACTGAAATCCAAAACGCCCTTAAAGCAGAGGGTGGCCCACAATGAGGCCAGCTTTTAACTGTATTTTAGCATCTTATTACACACCCCTCCTTATCTTCACCCCGAGCAAAAAATTATAATAAATACACTTTTAATATTTTTTTAACCTAAAAAATATATCGATTTTTTTTATTATTTTACATTTTATATATAATTATTTTATATTTTACATTTTATATATACAGGATAGGAAGGCTAAAAATTATTAATTTACTATATCATATATAAAAAGTGATAATAAATAATAAAATTATCAAATATTAAAAATATTAAATTGACCAAATTTTTTATACTTTTGAAAGTTTTCATAATCGCTACATCAACAACTTCAAAATATTAAAAATTTAGATATAGGATACTAGAAACTACATGTAGGATTGTGAAACATCTTTATACATAAATATATAATTACAAATCATGTAGAGCTCCAAAATACTATGTTGGTGTGTATTCAATTTAAATTTTAAAGATTTTTTTAAGATTTTCTAGTGTATTCATTTGTAATTCCAAAAGTGTCAAAAATTAAAGAGTTATTCAGTTATGATTTTAAAAAGTCATGAGATATTCAATTTATTTTGAGGTGTGTGATATGGTTATAAACTTAACTCTAAAAAAAAATTTCAAGCAAAACTCAAATTTAATCAATTTTAACTCACCATACTATTCTCGATATTATCAGTATAACTAAATAATATCAACCAATTATTTTTACACGTCACATCAACTTTAATTTACTATTCACCCATTCACATATTTTTAATCACTTCCAGTCATGTTTCTTCTACTATTACATCAAATCAACGTTAATTAATTTATTTTAAATAATATTATAATTTAAACTTAAATTCCTACAACAGCTAACCATATACCATCTCTACTGCCGCGTGTCCATCATCCACGTCCCAGAGCCATTATTTTAATTTATTTTTGTTTTTTGAAGGTTATTAATACCGTCAAGGATAGTCACGTCGCCCCACCACTTTATGCCATTTTTGTTGCCGCATGTCCAACACCCATGCCCTAGAGCCATTGTTTGGCTAAAACCCGACTCCCCTTGGGTTAAGCTAAACACGGACGGATCTTTCAATCGACTTACTGGATCCGCTGGAGCCGAGGGATTAGGGTTCACAGCGGAGCTCTTATTACCGCCTTCCATGCCCCTCTTCAAGCCTCCTCGAGCTTCAATTCGGAGGTTGAGGCGCTTCAGATTGATCTTCAGATTGCAGTGTCTATCTCTTCTCACATTTTTATTGAGCTGGACACTGTCGCTGTCACCACCCTCTTGACCTAAGGCCACCAGGGCTCGTGGTAGATTCAACACCCGCTTATGCACATCAAATCCATACTTCAATCGGTTCGCTATCGAATCTCACACATCTTCAGCGAGGGGAACCGTCCCGCCGACTACTTGGCCAGCCTAGGTATCTCCACCTCACAGAGGCGCACCTTCCTCCTGGATGACGCCTCTCTCGGCCATCGCACTCTTGTGAAGATGTACCAGATGGGCAACCCCTCATTTATATTCTAGTCGTCATCCTGTATTTTTGTATTTTTGTGCTTCAACTCACTTTGTGGAGCAGACTATCCTGGGCACCTGTCAGCTCAGATGGAGACTTTTCCTTTTGGTTGTCGCACTTTTCTTTTTCTAGTTTTTTGCTTTCGGATTTTGGTTGGACTTGTGTAGACCTGTGATTTTTTGTCCCATTTAGGCTCTTGACTATATACAGGTTGGCTATCCGGCCGTATTCCCCGCTCCCATATCTCTAGGTTTTTTTCCAAACACACCAAAAAAAAAAAACTAATCATCTTATTTTTTTTTTTCAAAATTAACTATGATTAAAAGAACTAATCAAATTCATATTCAGTCACGCTCTTTAGTATTTGAATTTGGTTAGATTTTTTCAGACACAATGGGATTTCAAAAATAAAATTACATATACGAAATCTTACTCCTACATCAGATCCCACCTACATGCATGAGATTTCGAAGGATTTCTAAATTAAAAGCTATTAATAATTCTTGAATTTTAACAAGTCTTAAAATGTCTTTCAAAATCCAAATAAAAACACCCTTAAATTTACATATTTAGCATTAGAAAAATGTATATATATAGGATTACAAACCACATCTACACATACAATTACAAACCATTGCAAGTTAAAAGTTGAAACTAGAAAACTACCTAAAAACACAAATATACCCTATATTTCATCATAAAAAAAAATATATACATGAATTTTATGTATTAATAAATATATTTATACAACAAATCTATCATCAAAATTGCAAGGATATTAATTTTGTAGCAGCACTGATGAGAGATGTAATAATGAGAAAGCACTTGAAAAATCACAAATGATAAATAAATAAATAAAAAAAAAACTATTACCAAATAAAAGATGCGGTCCGTATGTGTGCCGGTCCATAAAAGAAAATAAAAGGATAAACAACAGTAATAATCAAGTTTTTTGTTTACCAAAGAGAGAGAAAGAGAGGCAAAAATAATAAAATGGTAGCTGATAATAAAGATTCCTCAGCTGAAAAGCGAAAAACAATTTAAAAAAATCACTTCTCATCCCCTAAATTATATATATATATATATATATATATTTCAGAGGCGTGAGATTGACAGCCTAGATCGATCCCACCCAATATTAATTACAATAAAAAATAAAAAAGATTTCACTGAGTGATATATACATAATTTTTATTTTTATTTTGCAGCTGGTAAATTGAGAGAGAGGAGAGATAGAGAGAGAGAGATTGAAGGAAGAGAGAAATTTCAGATGCTCGGTGTCTCGGGGCTCATGGGTGGTAGCTCGGGCGATGGGGCCGCCGACGGCGGCGGCGCCAGCGGCGGCAGCAGCGAGGCTGGGGCGGCGTCCAGCTCGGTTCCCGGTGGGGGATTGGAGGAGAGCGGAGGCGGAGGCGGAGGCGGTGGAGGAGGTAACCGGTGGCCGAGGCAGGAGACGGTGGCGCTGCTCAAAATCCGGTCGGATATGGACGTCACTTTTAGGGACTCCAGCCTTAAAGGCCCATTATGGGAAGAAATTTCCAGGTAATTAATCAATTAAATTAATTCAACCTGAATGATTATTATTATTTTTTTTTTTTTGCTACTGTAGATCGAGTGTATATATTATTGTTGAGTTAATTTGATGTGAGATTTATTTTATTTATTTATTTAATTAATTAAAAGAGTTTATTCTGGATCATAATAATTTCTCTTTTGGTTCTTATTTTTGTTGTGTAATTAATTGAAAAGGAGGGGGTGTGTGACTGTGTGTGTGATTTTTTGAGTTCATTTGCCATGGAATTCAGCAGCTTTCGTGGAATTTTGTGTTGCGGGTTTTGGTGCTTCAGTGTTTGTTTTGTTTTTGCCACTTTGTTGCTAATTATGGCAAAAAAGGGGGAGAATTAAAGTTTGAATGAAGAAAAAACAATCAATTATCCTTTCTTCTTCTGCTGCAGTTGAAATTCATCAACAAAATTATTCTTCATCTTTTTTCAACTTTTTCGGCTTCCTTTTTTTACTCGCCCAGGCTATGATTATCCTATATATATCTTCTTCAGGAAATTTTACTGCAATTAAATAATTTTTTTTTATTTATTTATTTATTTCGAGTATCCAACAATTCTCAGTTTGGATATCTATCAATCACCACTGTCATCTGTAATACTTAAGCAGAAAAATGGCGGAGCTTGGGTACCAAAGGAGCGCCAAGAAGTGCAAGGAGAAATTCGAGAACGTCTTCAAATACCACAAGCGCACCAAGGACGGCCGCGCCTCCAAATCCGACGGCAAAACCTACCGTTTTTTCGACCAGCTGGAGGCCCTCGAAAACATCACCGCTCCCCTACCCAACTTCCACCCTCCTCCCCCTCCTCGCCCCTCCGCCCCATCTCCTCCTCCGCTGCCCCTCCAAACGGCCATCCCATCGTCTGCCCCCAGCCCCAACCCGGTCAGCATTGCACCTCCCGCTGCCCACATCACCACCAACCCCATCTTCCCGCCTGCGCCGGATCCTCCTCCTCCTCCTCCTCCGCCTCAACCCCACACATTCCAACCGGCACCGATGAACTCGACCTCGACCTCGTCCACGTCGTCTGACGAGGACATCCGGCGTAGTGGCCGGAAGCGCAAGTGGAAGGACTTCTTCGAGCGGATGATGAGGGACGTCATCCGCCGCCAAGAGGAGCTCCAAACCAAGTTCCTCGACGCCCTCGAGCGCCGCGAACGCGACCGCGCTGCCCGCGAGGACGCCTGGCGGGCCCACGAGTCTGCCCGCCTCGCCCGCGACCACGACCTCCTCGTTCAGGAGCGCTCGGCCGCCGCAGCCCGAGATGCCGCCCTCATTGCCTTCCTCCACAAGTTCACCGATGCCAACAACCCACCGCCACCGTCGCCACAAAATCCTCAACCACCACCACAAAATCCTCAACCACCATCACCACCACCGCCGCCTCAGCCACCAGCACCTCAAAATCCTCAACCACCGCCGCCGCCACAGCCACAGCCACAGCCACAGCAACATGTACAACCACCACCACTCCTATTAACTAAACCGACGCCGGCGCCACCAACACCGGCACCGGTAGCAACACCAACAAAAATTCCATCGGAAAACAGCGGCGGAGGAGAAAGCTCGATGGCGGCGAGCTCGTCGAGGTGGCCCAAAGCGGAGGTGCAGGCGTTGATAAACCTGAGGACGAGCCTCGACCTCAAGTATCAGGAGAATGGGCCGAAAGGCCCGTTATGGGAGGAGATATCGGCGGCCATGGCGAAGCTGGGGTACAGCCGGAGCTCGAAAAGGTGCAAGGAGAAATGGGAGAACATCAACAAGTATTTCAAGAAGGTGAAGGAGAGCAACAAGAAGCGGCCGGAGGACTCGAAGACCTGCCCGTATTTCCACCAACTGGACGCGCTGTACAAGGAGAAGGCAAGGAACGACCCTGTCCCGTTCGGGTACTCGGCGGGGAATCAGGAGAGCCCGATGGCACCCATCATGGCCCGGCCCGAACAGCAGTGGCCACTGCCCTCTGGCGACCCACATCAGTCGGCATTGGCCGGCAACAACAATATCCATGAGGAAGAGGAAGATGACGACGAGGAGGAGGATGAGGACGAGGGCGGTGGCTTCGAGATGGTGGCGAACAAGCCTGCCACGGCGGAGAGAGGCGGAGGAACCTAGAGATAGAGAGAGAGAGATTTTTGAGAGGGGTGAAAAAACAGATGAGGAGCACAAGACATGGTGGAGAGGCAAGGACTGAGCGAGGGGTGTTTTCGACATTTTGCAAGGTATAGGGTTGTTATTTTTTTTTTTTTTTGGGTTTATTTATTTATTTAATGTAAGTTAAATTTTATTTTTGTATTTTTATTTATTATTTTGGAGATAAATAAAGGGGGGAGAACCGGAAAAATGGAGAGGTCGTGAATTTCAAGAGCTGATAAAGTGGCCATTGTTTGTTTGTGACCCTTCATGTGTTCTCTCTCCTTCTTGTTGTTATTTTATTTTATTTTATTATTTTTTTTTTCTTGTTGTTGAGTGTACATGTGAAAGATTTATTGAATTTAATGGTGTCACATTTGGTCAATGTTGGATTTCTATCTGCTTAATTTTTACGTCACCAAAATTTTAATTGTGTGTAAGATGTTGCAACAATGTTGGCTACCATGTCCTTCACATACACAAATCATATAAGAGACATAACATAAGTGAGGGAAATACTATGCTCTCGTTACAGAACCATTCAGTCGAGATTTGTAACCGTTAGATTATCATGTAACAGTTGATAACAGTTGATCTAACGGTTATAAACTTCGACGGAATGATTCCGTAACGGGACATAGAAAAATGTTATTGTCTCGTCACGGAACCATTTCGTTGAGGTTTTATGCCGACAGATGCATATATAGATTACTGTAGCAAGTGCATCTAACGGCTAAAAATCCAAACGGAATGACTTCGTAACGGGACTGTAGCCTTACCTACATACATATATAGTTTAAATATTTATATTATTTTTTGCAGTATGATATTTCAATTTTTTCAATTTAAAAGTATGTATATTTGTTAAAAAATTATGACCATCTAACCATTAATTCTACATAATATCACTCACACCGTGTGGGAAATATCGGACCTCACTAATGTCATGAGAGGAATAATAATTGAGGAATAATAATTAATCATATATGACGAAATTTTATTCTACAATTCACTAATTTAAACTTACAAATATATTTTAAAAGTCAATAAATTATAAATTTATCATATATGATATATCGAATTAATTATGTATTTACTAATTTTTATTTAACATCCATATGACATAAATAAATAAATAATTATATTTATCTTTATAAATAAATCTAAGCTATTATTACTATTAATTGAAAAATAATAAAATTATTTGTCAATTGAATATGTTTTTAAAATATAAAGTGATTATATGATATGAGCTGGAATTATTATAATATAAGATGGACAAGTACAAGTGCCATATGTCATTTTAAATAGAATAATAATGTAATTAGTTAAAAAATATTTTGAATTTCACCCAAAGACTTCCCTACCATCTTTATAAATTTAAATGTAATTTTTTTAACTAGCACACATATAATACACGAGGTATTGTACTGGTATTAACTAATACTTGTAGATGAGTTTTCTTATATTAAATGATACAATAACATACAAAAAAATAATTATAAAAAAATTAATACAATTATAGGTGGTTGGGGATTTTTCTTTTGGAAAAAAATAAAAATCTACACACACAAAACTATACATAAAAAAATTAAAATTTTATGATACAATGATTAGAATATATGTATTAATGAAAAAAAAAACTATATGTAAACACATGCTCTAAGCAAGATCAATATTTTATTTTATTTTATTTATTTTTTTTTTACAGCTAATTTTGACTTGGTATTATCAGTTTTAACACATGCTTGATTCCTTTTAGGCTGCATTAAATTGGATGGAAGTAGATCAAGCTACTATTATTATATTTGCAGTTAAATAAATTATTAGATATATAAGTGTGTTTGAATAATGTTACAATTTAATGTGCTTCATTTAGCTTCACTATTAAGCATTTTTTTTTTAATTTTTTTTTTATTTTTATTTTTTATTTTTGACTCCTGCATTTGAAAATATTTTGCACTAGCTATTTACAGACTGGCTCCTCATATATCAATATTATCTAGTAGACAATTTACGTAATAACTGTAATCACACAATCATTTAATTATTCATTTTAATCAAGATAGAAGATGGTACATTTTTATTCTAATAATAGGCAACATTAACCAAAGTAGGGAAATACTACAATCTCATTACGGAATCATTCTGTCAGAATTTATAACCGTGTTAGATCATTATGTAAACTGTCGTGGATACTTGACGGTTACAAACTTCGACAAAATAGTTCCTGTAGAATCTCCCCCAAAATGTATACTATGCAACATTTAACTAAATATATATTCCAGTTTTTTTTTTTTTTTTTTTTTTTTTTTTTTT